GAGTATTGTCAGAGACAATAAGTTTGGCACAGGATAGAGCAGGGTTTAGGGATGTTGTACATAGGGTTGCTACGAGTCACAGACAACTTGATGGTACACAACAACAGCAACAAACAACAACAACATATTGATGATATCATTTGAAAATATTCACATTCTACTGCTTTACCTTTTTTGAACTGATAGGCGAAGAAAAGATTGACACTGTCAATGACTTCATCTTACTTGGATCTATAATCAATACACTTGTTAGTAATAAGATCAAGGAATGTATTACACTTTGAAAGTGTAGTCAGGGACCTTTCCAAATTATTGAGGAGCAATGATAACAGTTTGAGGACTAAGAGACACTAGATTCAGGTTATGGTGTATTCAATCACTGACTTGACATTAGAAGGCTGGACAGGACTAAGGATTACAGAAGAATAGTTGATGCCCTTGAATTGTTGTATTGGAGAAAAATGCTGAGTATCTCAAGGACTTCCAAAAACACAAGTTGATAAGTCTTGGAGAAGGTGCATCCAGTGTGCTCCTGGGAAGCAAAGGTAATGAAGCTTTGTCTGACATACTTTGGGCATGTTGCTAGGAGAGCTTATTCCTTAGAGAGGAACATCATGCTTGGGAAGGTGGAATGATGATGAAGAAGAACACAATCACTGCAGTAATGGCTTTGAGGATGTCAGAGATTGTGAGAATGGCGAAGGATTGGACAGAGTTTGGATAGGTTGTTCATAGGATCGCTTATTAGTCTAACTCAACCTGATCACATGTAAGATAATAACAACAACTGAGACCAAGTCTCTTTGCCTCTATATTGCCCACTGGTTGCACTTCTTCTAAGATATGTTTGTTTGTTGTTTTGGCATCCCATAGTATATTGTTTGCCAACAATTCAAGGCATCAGTTCTTCTTCTGTTATCCTTATTTTACTTTTTTCTAGTAAAATTTTTATTTTGTACTAGTTTATTTTCAAAGTTCATACATATTGTTGTTTCACATAAGATCTTTCCCATTTCCTTTATCTACCCCTCCTTCCACCCATCAAATTGTATGACTCTATGATTAACTACCCCTCACCCAACCACCTCCACTCATTCTCACCTCTCTACTCCCATCTTCCTCCCCTTAGATGCTCAGACACATTCTACAATAATAGTCTTATACAGTATTTGTCCTTATGGTACTGACTTAGTTCATTTAGCATAATGCTATTCAGTCCCTCAAGTTAGGTAGTCATTTACAAAATCCATGCTCCTGGGTGCTACATAGTGTTCCATCATGTGAATACACCATGATTTCTCAAAACATTTGATGGTGGTTGGACATTTGGGCTGTTTCCATGTTCTTGCAATGATGAATAACACTGCTATGAACATTGGTGCACAAGTCTCCATTTGTGCCTCAGTTCTCATTTTCTCAGGGTATGTTCCAAGCAGTGGAGTAGCAGGATCATAGGAAATGTCTATGTTAAGCTCTGAGGAAACACCAAACTGCCTTTCTGAGTGTTTGTACCATTTTACAATTCCAACAGTATATAAGATTTCTTATCTTACTACATCCTTTCTAACATTTATTACTTGCTATCTTATTAAACTTTGCCACTGCTATTGAAGTGAGAGGATATCTCATTGTGGTTTTGATTTGGTCCTCTCTTACTGCCAGTGACTTTCATTGTTTCTTCATGTGTCTGTTGGCCATCCAAATGTCTTCAATGTGAAAATTTTTTCCATGTCTTTTGCCCATTTTCTAATTGTGTTATCAGTCTTCTTCTTGTGGAGGCCCTGTAGGATTCTGTAAACTTTCTTGGTTTCCACATGGATGGTTTTGGAAGCTTTACTCTCCTGTGGTTAATTTCTAGTTTTATGGCATTGTGATTTGAGGAGATCAGTTTGTATTATTTCAATGGTTTTGAATTTGCCGAGGCTTACTTTCTGTCCGAATATGTGATAGATTCTGGAGAATGTATCATGTGCACTTGAGAAGAAAGTGAATTGAGTTTTAATTGAGTACAATACCCAGAATACATCCACAAGGTCAAGTTGGCTGATTGGATAGTTAATTTAGCTCTTCTGCATCTTTGTTAAGTTTCTTTTGAGTTGACCTATCCTTTTGTGATAGTGGCATGTTGAAGTCTTCTACCATTATTGTGGTACTGTCTATTTCTTTAGTTCTGTTAACTTTTGTGTTTTGCATTTTGCAGGTCTATCATTTTGTGCATAAGTTGACCAAGGTTATGTCTTTTTGATCTATTGTGCCTTTAATCAGTATGTAATGCTTTTCCTTATTTTTTATGGTGGTTTAATTCTGAAGTCTAGTTCATCTGAGATTAGGATTGCTGCTCCTCCTTTTTTTTAATTGCAATTTGCCATGTGTTCCCCCCACCCCCCCAGCCTTTGATTTTGAGTCTGTCTTTCTCTCTACTTTCCAGATGTGTCTCTTGTAGGCAACATATTGATGAGCTTGGTTTGTTTGTTTGTTTGTTTTAAATCCATTTTGTTACTCTTTTTCTCTTGTTTGGCATATTCACACTAAAGTGTGATTATTGTCAGGCCAGGTTTTGCTTTTGCTATTTTCCCTTGTTTCTTTTTCTGTTGTTTCTGCTTACTATTGTCTGTCCACTGTTTTTTTTGTTGTTGTTTTTTTTATTTATTATTCAATGGAAATTTACAGAGACTTTGGATTTCCGTTAATTCATTCATTGTTGAACTTTTTTTTCTCTGAACCCTCTGGCTGAGTACACTACCCTCTTGGAAAAGTAAAAGAAAAATTATTTCATTGTTTTACGATCCCTCCCCCCAAGTTCACACCACTAATCACAAAGGTGATTGTCTAGCTGTAAGATGCATACAAAACAATTGAAAATGCCTTGGGTCAGTTACTTAAGGTGTTAAACTGATATTTTTTGCTCTTAAGCACTTTGGAGAGGTCTTAGAGAGCAAATTTTTTCAATGCAACATGTATTTTTTGATTCTTCACTTCTGACCATGTGGAATTAACTGTGGGTCCAAGTAAAGTCGGAGTTGTTGACAACTCCTACTTAATTAATAATTGATTGTGAGTCCAAGTAGAATTGGAGTTGTTGACAACTCCTATCTTTTCTCTTTCTAGTGGTAAAGGATTTTTTTTTGGTCAGTTTTATTGTTGTTGTTGTCTTATATTTACGGTCATATTTTCATATCGGCCCTGAGCATGATAGGGACAATGGAGTAGACATGCGACTCAGATTCAGGTACCCTATTGTAGAGGAATCAGAATCTCAAAGGTAAAGGAATATCAATTCAGAAATTACTCAGGCCTAGGAATGAATCTGATATACTAAAGTATGACTCTATTTATATCAAACCAATTACATGTTGTGCATATATTTCCTATGTGAAAACAATCATATTGCCTTAAAAGTGAAATAGTAGATTTTTTCAGGTGTTAAAGCTCTTAAAATAATTCTATTATGTCTTTGTATTACATAAATATATCTGAAATAAATCTTTGAATTAAAATTATGAATATATCTATGTAAATTCATTTTCATGATGCTCCACTTTATCTTGAGGAATAGACCAAATGGATTCTTTGTTGGTTTTTTTTCTGGTTTTCTGTGTATAGTTTATTATTGTGAGTAGTAATTTTCATACTTTTAATCCTGTTTCTTCTAATAGGATTAGAATATAACAAATAAGTGAAGCTATTTTCCCTAGTAATTCTAACATGAAATTATCTAAGAATAGTAATAGAAAATAAGATTAATATGCCTCTCTATTTATTAATATTGGAATGCCTTCATATCGTTTTTAAACCTTTTATTGAGTTTTGGGTAAATGTTTATAAGATGAATTATCTTTCCATTCAGTAATTTACATAAATGGTAGTTTAAGACATTGATTATAGTCCCTCAGTTTAACAGCCAAATCTGTCTATTACATTATATCTACCCAGTGAATAAGGATAATAGGAGAATTATTGGTATTTTTAATTGGATATAAGCTGTAATATTAGGGAAAGTTATTGAATATTCCATGGACTGCCAAAAGAACAAACAGATATGTCTCAAAGAGTATTCAGCCAGGGTGCTCCTTGGAGACAAAGAAAACAAAACTTCAGCCCTCTATGAGGTGGATTGATTCAGTGACTGGGATAATTGGGATGGGAGTGTCAGAGACAGTGCGATTGGCACAGGACAGAGCGGA